GGGGGGGGTAGCTCCGAAGGACACTCCCCTGGGGGGCAGGGGTAGGGCAGCCCAGCTCTCTCTGAAGCACGGCTCACACGCTGCACAGCACAAAAGAAAGGGCCGCGCGCGTGTGTGTGTTTGTGTGAGACACATCCGCCTGTGTATGAGAGATCCGCGTGTGTGTGAGACACAGAGAGAGGTGTGTTGTGTGAGTGAGATCTGGGTGTGTGTCGGTGAGAGCGCGGTTTGTGTATGAGATCTTGGGGGGGAGATCAGTGTGAGAGAGGGATCTGTGTGTGGGGGGGGGTGCGCGCGACAGAGACGTGTGCGTGTGTGAGACCTGTTTGTGTATGAGATCCGTGTGTGTGTGTGTGTGTGTGAGAGAGGCAAGTATGTCCATGAGGGATCTGTGAGAGATGTGTATGTGTGTGAGAGACAGACGTGTGTGTGCGCCCATGAGAGAGAAGTGTGCGTGTGTCCATGAGAGACGTGTGCGAGAGATGTGTGTAGGCACGAGACAGTCTTCCTCAAGCGCGTGTCGGCCGCGCTTTGCCGTGGCCTCCCGGACAGAGGCAGCGCGTCCCCCCAGCACAGCACAGCACAGCACAGCACAGAGGAGACTGCAATCGAAGCGAAGCGACTTCGGGAGCAAGTTGAGGCCGGCCTGCACGACCCCCCGCGCTGCACCCCCCGCCCCGGCGGAGGAGCCCACAGCGCAGGCCCCTCTCCCTCCAGCGCTTCTTAGCCTGGTGCTCTGCTCCAGCCACATCCATTTCCAATCTCATGCCTCATAAACCATTAGCAGAAGGAAAGTCATGATTCACCGCCTGTATCCTACACAGGAGAAAGGGGGGAACACCCCCCTACACACACACACACACACTCCGCCTAAGGAGGAGAGGGCGCGCCCCCCCCGCCGGCCCCCCCCCCCGCCGCAGCCACAGCCGAGCCGCCCGGCCCCATGGGCGGGGGACACGTCGCAAGGGGACAGCCCCGAGCCGAGCCCAGCTGGGCGTGTAGCGCGGGGAGGAGAGTTCAAACGAGCTCCCCGGGGGCAAAGCCCAAGCTCCCAGCAGCCCGGGCAGAGGGGGCAGAGCCCAGGGCATGGAGAAGGCGGGAGCCGGGCGCACTGGAGAGCGGCCTGGAGAAGGCCAAGTCGACTGCAAGCCTGTCTGAACGCACGGGGCCCCATCCTGGAGTCTTTACTCAGGCAAAACTCCCGTGGGGGGCTGGCTGCAGAACAGAAATATTAATAAGGAAGGGCATTCTTTTTAAAAAAGGAGGAGAGGAGGAGGTGGTCGAGAAGTTTGGACCACGAGGTAATTATAAAACCAGTCTAGCGCTCTCAGAGAGACCCACTTTGCAATTTGGCGCCGCGGAGCGAAAGATTTCAGAGGAGGTTCGGGTCATCATCGACAATGGAGCAATGTTCTCCCGCTGCTTAATATACATGGGGTGGGAAATGAGGGGGACACACTGCCAGCACCTGTAGTGCTCAGGAAAAAAAAAGCAATCAAATTACCATCTCCTATTGGGGGGCGATTTTGCAGGACCCTCTTCAAAACTGGAGCCCCTGGCTAATTACCTCTCCAATGACTTTTTTTTGCCAGTGCTAGTTTCTGGTAAGGGGAAGCCTCACCCCTGGGGCATTTTTTTTCTTTTACTTTCTGGTATCTTCAAAAAGATTTTCCTTATGTGTTAATTGCATGCTCTTAAACACATCTGGGATTGCAAGGGACCGATCTGGGCTCACTTTTAATTAACATATTGACCTGGACTCCCGCAAAAAATATGCATGTTATAGGAAAAAGAGACAGCTCGCCTGCACTGCCCACGCTGGGAGGGTAATTATCGCTGTGTGTGTGTGTGTGTGTGTGTGTGTGTGTTGGGAATACATACAGAGGGGTGTGTGTATATATATATATATACACGTGTGTCTTGGGAATTTACAGGTGTGGGTGTATGTGTGTGTGTCTTGGGACTATACAGGTGTTGTGTGTGTTGGGAATATAGTTATTTTGTCCACCCCACGCCTGACCATGCTATGCTAGTGAAGCAGTTCATAGCTGTGATTTTACTCAGCCTTCTGTAGCCAAGGAATTAAACAAAAATGCAATTTGGAAAAGGATTTTCTTTCTTTCTTTTCTTTTCCTTT